TTTGATGACTGATCATTTAAGTACAGATAATGGACATAATCCTGTAATTTTGTTGAATTCTGCAAATACTGATAATAATAAAATTGTGAATTCTGCTAATTTATTGCATTCTGAAAATACTGATATTGGACAGTTTAAGAAGTCTGAAAATTTAAGATTGTACTCCTGTAACTTTTTTGGTTAATGCTAATTTAAGTACAGATATAATTCCTAGTTCTGAAACTAGTTTGAACACTGCAAATGCAGATCATAAACACTCCATATTGACTACTACATCATCAGCATTTCATGTCAGTCACACTAATGCTAATACATTCCTCTGGCACAATAGGTTAGGACATCCCCATTCTGATGTGCTTACTAAAATTTTGTCTCATCTTCATCCTAATCATACACAGTCTGTTTCCTCTTCTTTCTTTTGTGATGCCTCCTGCAAACTAGGAAAGCTCCATAGGAACAGTTTTCCTGTTTCTCATTCTAGAGCTTCTCAACCTCTTGAACTTGTTCATAGTGATGTTTGGGGGCCAGCTCCAATATCATCTTTTGATGGATTTAAGTACTATATTCATTTCATTGATGATTTCAGTAGATTCACCTGGATTTTTCCATTAAGAACTAAAGCTGAGGTTAATTCAGTGTTCATTAAATTTCATCACTTAGTTGAGAGACAATTTAATTACAAACTCAAGTGCTTACAATCTGACCAAGGAGGTGAATATAAAGGGTTAGTTTCTTATCTTACTAATGCTGGAATTCAGTTTAGACATTCCTGTGTGTATGTCCATCAACAAAATGGACGAAGTGAGAGAAAACATAGACATATTGCTGAAACTGGTTTGACCTTACTTGCACAAGCATCCATGCCTTTGCATTTTTGGTGGTTGGCTTTTGAAACTGCTGTTTTTCTAATAAATAGGATGCCTAGCTCAGTTTTGAATTTTATATCACCTTATCAAGTTTTATTTGGTAGACCACCTCTTTACTCATCCTTAAAGGTTTTTGGTTGTGCTTGTTTTCCTTACTTGAGAGATTTTAGTAAACATAAACTCAGCTTTCACTCTTCTAAATGTGTCTTTGTTGGTTATAGTCTCATCCATAAGGGATATAAATGTATCACTGCTGAAGGAAAACTCTTTGTCACACCTAGTGTTCAATTTAATGAAACACAATTTCCCTTTGCTACTGGTTTTCAGTCCTCAAAATCTCAACCTGTTTCTTCATCATCTGTTCCCACTACATTCAGTTTTCCTTTTGTCTCGGTACCCATTGCAACTGATTCAACCAGCAATGATTCTCCAGCAGTGCCCTGGTTCTCAACTTGTCACACGACAGCAACTGGTAAGCAAATTCCACTCTCCATTAGTTCTGGTTGTCCTAATCCTTCTTCTTCATGTTAGCCTGTGTTGTTACCTCAATCACCAAGTCCTTCATCTCCTCAATCCTCTTCATCAATTACAGTAACAGATTCTAAATTAGTGTCTACTGCACCTTTTACTAACAAGACAAATTCAGCCACTCACACACCAACATCCTCTACCTTCACACCAGTTTTACCAGATAATTCTTGTCCAGTTATGTCTTCACAGCCTACATTACCCATAGAAACAGCCACCACTTCCTCTTTAGCATCACCGAAGACTACTTATTGTCCACTTGTAGTTGATCTGTCCTCATATAAGTTTTCTGATACATTTTCTCATCTTTACTCACATTCATCCAAACCTGAATCATCTATCAACACACATCCTATGCTTACTCGAGCCAAACTTGTTGATCAGTCTAAAACAGTCCTTGTAGTGTCAAAGCCATTAACTGTCCAACCTGAACCTGCTTCAGTAAGTGAAGCCTTTGCTAGTGCTGAGTGGAGAACAGCTATGCATGATGAGTTTACAGCCTTACTAAAGAATGAGAAATGGACCCTTGTACCAAAAACACCTGATATGAATATTGTTGGAAATAAATGGGTGTTTAGAGTCAAGTTTCATGTTGATGGGTCATTACAAAAGTATAAAGACAGGTTGGTTGCAAAAGGTTTTCAACAAACCCCTGGTTTGGACTATTTTGAAACATTTAGTCCAGTTATCAAACCTGCCATTATCAGAATTATATTTACCCTTGTTGTCTCAAAAGGCTGGGACATCCAACAAGTTGATGTTAATAATGCCTTTCTCAATGGCACCCTAAGTGAAACTGTTTACATGCGTCAACCTGAAGGTTTTGAACATCCTCAGCTTTCATCCCATGTGTGCAAACTCAATAAGGCATTATATGGTCTTAAACAAGCTCCGAGGGCTTGGTTTGAAAAGCTGAAGCAAGCCCTAGTGAATAGAGGATTCAAAAATTCTGTTTCAGATTCAAGTCTGTTTATTTTTCAGAATGCAACTCAGGTTCTATACATTCTCATCTATGTTGATGACATCCTGGTTACTGGATCAGACAAATCTGCTATTTTACAACTTGTGACAGAATTAAAAAGTGAATTTGCTCTGAAAACTCTTGGCTCTGTCACCTACTTTCTTGGTCTAGAAGCTCATCGAAATGCTGAAGGTCTTCATTTACGACAAACTAAGTACATTGTTGATCTATTGGCTAAAACAAAGATGCAAGATGCTCATGCTTGTCCTACTCATATGGCTATTGGAACAAAACTTTTTAGTTCTGACAGTGAGCTATTCAAGGATCCTAGTTTATATAGAAGCACCATAGGAGCCTTGCAATATCTAACTTTGACCAGGCCTGATATAAGCTTCACTGTCAACAAGCTCAGTCAATTTCTTCAAGCCCCAACTGAACTTCAATGGCAAGCCTGCAAGAGAGTCTTAAGGTATATCAAAGGCACTCAGTTTCATGGGCTGCAATTTAGGCCAGCAACTACTTTTTGTGTTGAGTGTTATACAGATGCAGATTGGGGAAGTAATCTTGATGACCGAAGGTCCACAAGTGGTTATTGTATTTACTTGGGGCCTAATCTTATTCAATGGAGCTCTTGTAAGCAAAACTTGTTGCATTATCTTCCACAGAGGCTGAATACAGGGCACTTGCACATACAGCCACTGAATTAGCTTGGTTAGACAGTGTATTTTCTGAATTGGGTATAAGCTTGAGTGCCACTCATGTAATATGGTGTGATAACCTTAGTGCAGGAGCTTTGGCATCTAATCCTGTTTATCATGCAAGAACCAAACACATTGAGATTGACACACATTATATAAGAGATCAAGTTCTAGCTAAGAAGGTGATAGTCCAATATGTTCCTTCGAAGTTGCAAATTGCTGATGTTCTGACTAAGTCTTTATTAGTAGCTCAATTTCAAGAGCTGAAACGAAAACTCAATGTAGTTGCAGTTAATATTTCCAGTGAACAAGAAGTTGGTGTGCCAACTTCAAGAAACTAAAGGAGTGTTTCTGGTATGAGAAGTGTACTGTTGAAGGAATGACTTGAAACTGCAGTGTCTTATAACTGCTGAAGATGCATCTGTAGTTTTTTCTTTCTTTTCTGATTTGAGGAATGTTGCAGTTTCTTGAGTATATGGAGTATGAAGTGTGTCATTTCTGGCTGCAGTGTCTTATAACTGCTAAAGCACTGCTGAAGATGCATCTGTAGTTTTTGTTTCTTTTCTGATTTGAGGAATGTGGCAGATTCTTGAGTATATGGAGTATGGAGTCTGTCATTTCTGGTTTAAGGAGTGTGGCAGATTCTTGAGTATATGGAGTGTGTCATTTCTGATTTGAGAAGATGTTTGAGGAGTGTGGCAGATTCTTGAGTATATGGAGTGTGTCATTTCTGATTTGAGAAGATGTTTTTTTTTGCAAATTGGTACAAATGGAGTAAGAAGTACTGCAGATTATTGAGTATGTTGAGTCTCTTTGCAGTGTATTGACATTTTTTGGTTTTGTTTCGATGGTACAAATGGAGTAAGGAGTACTGCAGATTATTGACATTTTTGTTTCTGTTTCGATGGTACAAATGGAGTAAGGACTTCTACAGATTATTGACTTTTTTGTTTCTGTTTCGATGGTACAAATGGAGTAAGGAGTTCTGCAGATTATGGACATTTTTGGTTTTTGTTTTGATGATACAAATGGAGTAAGGAGTTCTGCAGATTATTGACAGTTCCTGTGTCAAAATGTTTCTGTTTGCTGGAGTTCTCTTGTTTCCTAGCTGTCATATTGCTTGGGGAACTTGGTAGTTGCTGAAGTTGGAGCTGTCATATTGCTTGGGGAACTTGGCAGTTGTTGAAGTTGGAACAACTTGGAGCTGCTCAAGTTAAAAGACTAGGCATAATCCCGGTTTAATTCTGAAGGGAAGTGCTGAATAGAATAACCCCTGTTGAGTTTGAACGGAGATGTTGACCAAAGAAAGAAAAAGGGTAAAAAGGTCAAGACGGTAGTTTTGTTTACTAACTCATGCGGTGTCGTTTTTATTATCATTGTCATCTCTCTCATTTCATATAAAAGAGAGCTCAACTGTAGTTTGTAATGTACTAAAAAATAAAAAACAGATCTACGAATTTTAGCTCTCAGTTTTCTTTCAATTTTGTTCCAAATCTCATAGTAACTTATAAAATTCAAGAGCAATACTAGTCTTACAAAGACAAAAACAAAGAGGACATACAAAGATAATTTCCACCCTTCATCTTCATGATTTCTCTCTCTCTTTCTCCCTCTTTTTCCGTTTTTTCTTTGTTTTTTCCTTCCTGCTGATGTCACTTTGTAGCTCTCTTTGTATTATCTTTGTAAGGATAGCATTTTTCAAAATTCAAACATAACATGACTTCACACAACTCAGTTTGTAGAAAAACTTTTCAATACAAACAGATGACACGACAGACTGACACTGCTACATTTGCAAAGCTTATTCAAATCATAAAATAAGACACCAAACACAAACACAGACACGAACATAACCCAACTTCGACTCATCACATAGGATACTTGCTACTTCATTTCTCCGACACAGCAGCTGCAAAACGAAACATCGATCTCCAGCTTGATGAACTACTACCCCAATGAGAAGAAGGTATCAGTGTATAAACATAACCCACTTTCCCTTTCCAAACTCAGATTTGCACTTCTTCTAAGTACTTTAGTTCGGATGTTGAAGAAATTCAGCCTCTCTTGCTGAGTACTAATAACAAGTTCTTCATTCTGATGCCCTAGAACAAAGATTTGCATCGGCCCATTGTTAAATCCTTCCAGTTTAGTCAAATCAATAGAGCATTGTTTCACCCATATCTTCTTCACTGGATCCTTCAGCATCCATACATGAGTCACTGGAGGATGTGCAAAAGTGTCGATCAAACACAGCTGCCCTTGTACTTCAACCAAAAACATGTCATTACCTCTAACATATGAAATCACATGTGGATGAGGAATGAAATCAAATGTTTCTGTTTCCAAATCAAGCGAGACGATTAGTTCTTTCAGTAAAGGGTGACATCCCTCCCATACCATCCAGTAGAACTTGTTGTTGGCCAGAACTCCCCAACCACGAACGATGAAAGGGCATTGTTTCTCGATTTGCTTCCATGAAGAACTAGTTCCGCTGCCTTCTGATAGAGTGAAAATCTCACATTTAATTGAGTATGAAAATTCATCTTCATTTTCATCATACAAATGAACCAGTTTGTATTCATTTGTGGATGGATTATAGCCGAATCCTCCATCGATTCCCTTACAGGTTGAAGGTTTTGGCTTGGGAAGTTTTATAGCCTTCTTCATACCGGGATTGAAGATGTAGAAATTCCCTTTGTTAACAAGACAGATCAAGCCATGGCCGGAGGGTATCATGTGAACATAACCACCAACAAAGCCAATAGTTCGAAATTGGATGTCACCCTCCATGCTTGCAGAGAAGAAGCGAACGATTTGCCGCTTAGTCATGTTGTCATTGACATCATCAGAAGATTGATTGAGTAAGAGCAACTGACGATTGCTCATTGATCTCTCCAGGTGTAACCTTAAGAAATAAGGATCTGAGATGGTATTCAACCACTCTTTGCATACACACTTGCAGACGCATAGAGCCTTCACGGGGAGTCTGGAAAATATATTGAGCTTGAGTTCATGTAGAAGGTTAGGCATCTCTATCGCAGTTCTCAACTTACTCATTGGATATTGATCTGTGTTCCAAGTAAAGCAAATTAAATGATCAAAGATAAAATAAAGAGAGACATTAGTACGCAAGAAATGAATTGATATGCATATGAAGCAGATTAGATAATTTAATAAAGAATCAAATTTTACTTGTTAAGAAATTCATCCAAAAATATTTTGGGGTTTCAACAGATAAAGTATAGATTCTATGGACTATGGTTTTAAGGGATATCATTGATTTGTTGTGGATTAAATTGGTAGAACAATGAAGTATTATGGAAAAAAAAAAAAAAAAAGCAAAGAGAAAAATAAATGATTAGTAATAAATTAGAAAATAAAGATATTAACGATAAAATATTATAATATATGGTTTAGTAATTACCAAGTACCAACTAGAGATAAATAGAATGATTGAAAGTATATATGATAAGTAAATTAATACTGATATTAATCATTATTGTTTTTATAGGAGAATGGTATGACTTCAAATTATAAATAATATTAATAGTTTAAATGGATAAATATAATTGAAAGAAAGGCAAAAAAGAGAAATATAAATTATTGATTATCAACTAATTATAAAAATTATAATAACGGTATAAATAGGTAAGTATATGTTGATATTCTAAAGAAAATAGAAAGAAAAAAAATGATTAATCGATGAAAAATTTATGGTTATAAAGTATGGCATAAATAATAAGACGGATATTAACAATTAAATATATACCTATTAACTAAAGAAAGAAAAAACAAAAAGAGAGAAACATATAAGATTGATAAATGATAATAGTTTTGTAACAGTATTAACGGTCAAATATTATGATAATAGTTTTGTAACGGTATTAACAGTAAAATAATATATGGTAATAGTTTTGTAACTATATAAACGGTAAAATATTGTAACAGATATAATGATATTAACGGTAAACTATAATAACGATATAAACTGAAAAGAAATAAAGAGAGTAGTTGAAAATAATGATTAATAAGTAGGACTTATATATAGATATAACGATATTAACGTAAACTATATATATATATATTATATAATATATATTATATATATATATATATAATATATATATAGCTAAATAGAGAGGAAAATTGACATATAACTCTCTCATTTGAGCAAACATATATATTCTTTTTCAATACTCCTCAATACATAAAATAAATATATTATAAGAAAAAATATAGATCTATTAACAAAAATTAATAGATCGGAGGAAAAAAACGATTCACACAAAATTTGTTATGCATTATGCAATATGATGATACAATAGATGATGACCGACACTATTACAATTTAAATGCATCAATGAAAAACAATCTGACACATTTAATTCGGAAAAATGACAGAAAAAAGTACCCAAAAAGAAAAAAAAAAGAAAAAAAAGAAAAGAAAGAAAAGAACAGATCAATTAAGTTTAAGATAATATACCTGCCTAGAGAAATTTCAATATTGATCTAGAACTCGAAATTGCTTACACCATATCTTTGATTACTAAATTTCTAGAGAGGAAATATAGAAATTGAGGGATATTAGAGGGGATATAATTAGAGTTATAGCAAGTGTATGGAGAAGGTGATGAGGCTGCAGCTTGACCTGGGTGGGTGATGGTCTGTGTTATTTATAGTGGACTGAGAGGAGAGAGGGTTGAAATGTAATTGAATTCCAGAATGCTTCCTTTTTAAAAATGGAGTCCACAACTGAAATGAAATGGAGTTATAAAATGGAAAACGACAGGGAATTTATATATTCACTCTCTTATTGCATGCCTGCCAAGTAATGTACTACAGTACAAAGAGTCAGTTTTTTGTAGATGAGTATGAATTATATCTAGTAAGACAAATTTTATTAACAAATTTTTTTAATATTATTGTTTTATTATTATACATTCATTTTTCCCTTCTTATTGAGTTTGATTTATATATATATATCTAGACGAATAATTTCATATACAAATTTTGTTAGATAACAGTTGATCGATAATTTTTGTTTTTAATGTTAGAAGATTTATATACAAAAACTCAAATAATATTTTTATACAGGGCTAAATATATATTCATGTTAAGTAAATATTAAGAAAAATAAAAAGTAATTACAGCAGATGCAATGTATTGTGACTCTTGTGAGGGAGGTGAATCAGATTCCGAATTAAATTTAGTTTTGGCTTATATAAGGTAAAAAGAAAACCATATTTAGTCTGGAGATTGAGTATTATATGTTGCAATAAAAGCATGAACAGCAGGATTCCTTTCTACCTTCCATATTTAGATGGTAGCTTTAATGAACCATAATTTATATAAAAATGTCAGTTACATTCCAGTTCAGTCATCCATTTGACAAAATATCAAGCAAAGTTTTTTATTAAACCAGAATTTTTATATGTTAAGACGATGAGATGACTTATATATGGAGAAAAGGTTAGAGAAAAACAAACATAAAAGTCCTCCTTTTTACATTACAACCGTCATCTAAATCATATGATTTTAATTCTTATTTTTTATATATTTAGTTTTAATAGGTGACTCTTTGTAATTAATCTCATATTGGAACTATTTGTTTTAATAATTTGAAATGTATCTCTAAATTCATATTTATTCTACCTTCATAATTAATATGTAACAAAATTTGGATATAATTATTATTCTTTATTAATTTAATTCTAACTTAGAGAACAGGATGTTGAAAATAGTGAAAAGTTTTTTTCCCATTTCTTTATAAATCGAAGTTGGAGAATAATTTTTGTGCTCTGAAAGTACATTTTTTTTTTAAGACTACATAGTACACTGTAATTCTACACGTTGTAGAGAAGAGAAGAATTCAATTTATAAAATTTCCTTGAAAAGAAATTATTTTTATCTACAGGTTCTGTGAATATTAGTATGGGTAGTTCATGCACATTCTACAATATAATAGATATATAATGTAATAAAGAGTTAATGACAAAAATTCTCCCAAGGATTTTATAATAACAAAAATTTCTCCTGCCATTAAATTTTAGGTAAAATAAATAGGAAGCAATTAGATAAATATTCATTAAATCATGATTCATAAAAGTGTAAATTCTTATTAATGGTTTATTAATTATACGTAAAAGAATTTTTGTTATTTTAAAAAACTCATAAAGATTTTATTATTTAATCAAACCTTGGTTAAGTTATTAACTCTATAACTATAATTAACAAACTTTAGACTTGTAATAGTTAAAGATAAATTCATAAAAGGATGAGACAAGACAATGACATAAAACTTCAGACTTATAACATATTAAAAAGTTCAAAGTACTTGCAATCACAAAGTTATAAGTTTTACATCGACTCTAAAATAACAAAATTAACCAAACTTGACAACAATTATTCCATGTCTTCAAAATGACAACACCAACAGCTGCAAAAACAAAGACTCATGCAGCCAACTCGAACCATGAAACTAAGACACCCGACTTGAACAAAAAAGCTAGGACACCCAACTCGAACCATGAAACTAAGACACCCAACTTGAACAATTAAACTAAGACACCCAACTCGAACCATGAAACTAAGACACCCAACTCGAACTACTCCTTCAATAAGAAGAAGGTCTCTGTGTAAATGCAGATCTCAGTATCCCTTTTCAAATTCAGATTCGGACCTCTCCTAAAGATTCGACTTCCCACATTGTAGAAATCAAGCCTTTCTTGCTGAGAATTGATAATGAGCTCTCCGTTCAGATAGCCGAGTACAGAGATTTGTGTCAGCTCATCATCAAATCCTTCCAACTTAGTCAAATCAATGGTGTACTTTTTCGCCCATATCTTCTTCACCGGATCTTCCAGAATCCACACATTTGTGATCGGAGGATACGCAAAAGTGTCCACCAAACACAGCTGCCCTTGAAGTTCCACCAAAAACATGTCGTTTCCTTCCACATAAGAAGTCACATGAGGATGAGGAATGAAATCGAATGTTTCCGTTTCCAAATCCAGGGACATGATTAATTGATCCACTGTGGGGTGGCATCCTTCGCATACCATCCAGTAAAACTTTTTGTCCACTAAAACACCCCAACCAGAAACCATGGCAGGGCACTCCTTCTCGAGTTGTTTCCATGAGTTAGAACTCACTACGCCGCCATCTGATAAAGTCATGATCTCACATTTGATGCTGTACTCCAACTCTTCTTCACTTTTAATGTTATAGAGATGAACGAGCTTGTATTCATTCGTTGATTGAATGTAGCCAAATCCTGCATTAAATCTACCACAAGTTGAAGGTTGCGCCGTGGGGAGTCTTGCAACCTTCTTCATGCTGGGATTGAAGGCATAGAAAATCCCTCTGTTAACGAGACAGACCAAGCCGTGGCCGGATGGTATCATGTAAATGTAGCCACCGACAAATCCACGAGCTCTGAATTGCATTACACCCTCCATGTTTGTGGTGAAGAAGCGAGCAACTTGTCGCTGATTGTCTTCCTCGTCATCATGATCAACGGATTGATCAAGAAACAGCAACTGACGATCTTTCTGAGCTCGCTCGAGGTGTAACTCTAAGAAATAGGGATCAGTTAATATGCCCAACCACTCTTTGGATACGCACCTGCATTTGCCTATAAACTTCACAGGAAGTCTTGAAAATATGTTGGACTTGATCTCATTAGGGATTTTTGCCATCTCTATCTTTCTCAATTTACTCATCATTGGATTAAATAGTAGGATTAGAGAGGACTATTCTTCTTTTTTCTGTACCATAAGAAAGCAAATAGATGAACATTGTATGTGCATTTCATATGCATAACAGATAAATAAAATCTAGTTAATGTTACATATACAAACTACATCAATCGTTATTCATTTTAGTTTGTTTTGACTATTTTTAATTTTAGATTATCCAATCTTATTACAGTACATCAGTTTATATAAATGAACTTAGTTTATATATGTAATATGACTAATCTAAATACTAAAATAACTATACCCAATCTTATTTTATTTTTGTCATTCAAAATTACCAATAACTAGTACCAGAACCCT